GTGTGTGTGCATGTGTGTGTGTGTGTGTGTGTGGTGTAAACATGTTCCCGTGTCTCTGCAGTGAGTTCTCCCTCCTCAGTGTTTCACATCTGTTCAGTGACATTTTTGTTCCATTTCTTCATCATATGAAATCTGCAGAAAGCTCACTTTGAACGTTAGCACCTGTATCCTCTCAAGCTCTTACTGTGTGCTTCTTTCCCTTTAACTGCTCATCACCTCATTGCTCCATTCCCTCTCCTCCGCCATGCTGCTGTTCTCTGCACCGCTCTTCTTATAAATCAATTACACCATCCAACTCCAATCAACTCCATCCAATTTCCTCTTTGCTCTCTCGCCATCATCTGTCACGCTCCTTCGTGCCTCTGCCGGGTGTTTGGGGATGCTGCTGCAGAGAGTCGTGAAAACTCCTTCACCCGCTCGCGCAGCTCCAGTGTTTCCAGCATTGACCGCGACACCAAAGAGGCTGTGACCACGCTGCAGTTCGGAGAGTCGTACGGGCGCAAGAACGATGTCCTGCCCACCCCGTGTCTGTGGGTGGGCACTAGCTTAGGCGTGGTGCTGCTCATCCCCATGTCCATCCCTACTGATCAGGAGGAAAGGATGGAAGAGCCTGTCACGATGGGCGTAAGTGGTAAGTACCACCGATACTGCAACAGTACCACAAGAAGTACCAAAGTTATTAGTCACTTTAAACTATACCCGCCTACATGATACTGCTGAAGCAACAACACTATGATACGGTCATGATTAGGGCCACAGGTCCTCTGTAGTTTCACTGTAGTTCAGCAGTTTGCCATCATGCTAATGGGAGAGCACGAATGAATGAAGCATCACAATATTCTGGATAGAGTCATGTATATTTCTATAGCAACAGAGACCAACAGCGATAGTTGTACCAGGCGGTGACTCGTGCTTGTTCTGCTGTAACGTTTGTCTAAACCAGCCTGAAGTGGAGGCTCCAAGAACTGCAGGTTTTTCAGTGTAATGCTTCATTTAGGAGTTCATAAGGTGAGTTCAGTGCAGTGATTTCATATTACAAATGTGTTGGAATGAATCCCAATCAAAAGTTGAAAAACGGCAAAATTCATATTTTGCATGGTTGGTTCCAAGTAGAGCTTCAATCTGCAACAAGAAGAAATCTGAGTGACATGAAACATTTTTTGAGCATGAAATTTATTGGAAACATCACTTAGACTGAAACGGGCTGTCACGGCTGAGCAGCCGGTGTGTTTGAGGAACGGACCCCAACGAACTATGGTTCGAACCTGAACAGTAGGAGCAAAAACTCTATGGCATGAAACAAACAGACGACCCGACCAAGGACAGTAAGCGGACTGAAGCACACAGGAGGGTAACGAGGGAAGTGCAAACACAGCTGACACAAACGAACATGATGGTGCCGCAGGGGGAAGTAAAACCAAGCACACTGAACACAGAACACAAAACATGGAGAGACGTGGACATGACAACATGCAGACAATAAACACATGACAAGAGACGACTTATAAATGAGGAATTATAGAAGAAACAAAACCAGAATGAAACTCAACTAAATCCTAACTAATAATAGCAGCGCAAGGACTAAGCATACTTTCAACGTGGACTCCAAATGCTGAGTCACAGACACCGACACAGGCTGCGTTACAGCTGATCAAAGTTTAGGACCACATGCCTTCAAAAGGCAAAAATGTGGATTCATTGTCATTGAAAAACTGCATTAAAATTACGTTTGAAGTAAAATGGTCATTTGGTACGTAGAGGAAACTGATTCGTCACAGATCTGTATGAAACTGAAGTTTACCCTGAACAGCTGGAGCCGACCCACAGTGGCCACAGTCCATAATAAAGTTATCATCACGTCAGTGATGCTGATGCTGCTCTGATGGAGCTCGGTCTAAACCCCGGGACACTGATCTGACCAAACAAATCTCATCTTTCACTCAGTTTGAATTCTGTGGACACAAACGGTCGTTATGAACATGAGAGGAAATGTGTGGCCGACTCTTACAGTAAGTGGAGATCGTTCTCCAAGAGCACAGATGCACCGTGTTAAGCTGTGAGGCTTCAAAGGCCTCATTTGTTTCAATTACACGTGATTTTCTTTCACTGAAACTTTGATGGGCATCGTGCATTATTTTGCAAATGGCTTGATTTTGTACTCCAGAGTGTGGACAGTGTTTCTACAGTCTACACAAAACGGAGCCACTCAGAGACGCATTACTGCTCCTGAAAAAAAGGTCTCCCGTTCAAAGTAAAAACATCAATATAGCCAAATTTCCAGTCCCTTTGAAGCAGCAGCTCTTCTCTTGAGACTAAACTTATGAGAAGCGAGCTTATTACTGGAAGGTCACAGATCCACTCGAGAGAAGAAGAAAGGATTGTTTCCTCTCGTTCTAAAGTGCTCCTGTGGGCGTCTATTGGATAACGTCCGACGTAGTAAATGCAGCATCTGAAAAGTGTCAGTAATGTATTACTGCATCCAGTAGTTGCACTTGTGAGGCAGTTAAGTGTACACGGTTGTGAAGCTTGCCTTGTATCATTCAGTCCTTTTTGTATAGCTATACAAACGTTATATTACAGGCAGTATTAGAGGGAAAATCACAACAGTGGAAAGGAAGGACCCCGCTTTGACTCGAAGAGACCTACAGCAGAGGTCTGTCAGGACTCTGGCAGCAGTGGTCTGTACATACATGCTCAGTTTTAAAGACCACGTGAGAACATAGACGCATCTTTTTGACTGAAATGTTACGCTTAGCGCCGTCTTCCATCCTGTGCTGAGCTTTAAAGACTTTTCTCTCCCACTGTGTGCTGGGTCCCTCTCCTGCTCACACACTCACAGGAGCGGTGCTGATGCTGAAGGGCTCTGTGTTACGCTTCAGCTTCTTGGACTGCATGGGAGCTCTCATCCAGCCCCCCTATGAGGTTTGGCGGGACCACAACGCCCCCGAGGACCCCGACCGACTGCGGAGGCGCAAGCTGGTCCACTTTTCGCCATCGTCCTCCCAGGACGCCTGCGGAGACGGACACTTGGCTGTGGTGTGCTCTGAGAGGCAGGCCAAAGTGTTCCTGATGCCCTCGCAGTCTTGCCTGTTTGTCCACAACATCACAGAGTCGTCCTTTGTGCTGAGGGCTGACGTGGTGTCTGTGTGCAACAGCGTGTGCCTCGCCTGCTTCTGTGCAAACGGACACGTCATGACGCTCAGGTATGACCACGGCCGCTCGAGTTCTCTGTTATTAGATGTTTGTTTTAATCTGCTTTAAAGCCTGCTCTGTCAGCGCAGCTATCATCTCTGTGTTTGCACTGTTAAGCTGAACGTGGCTGCAGTAGCAGCTTTTTCCTTTTCACAGGTAAGGATACTTAATCTGAACCGGTCAGTGAGAGCGTTTTGGTGCAGAGGAAATCTGAGAGTTACATGTGACTCTATGCAAGGGCCACTCACTGGGTGGATGCTGAATGGTCTGGCTCTATCCGGTCTTTAAGTGATGATGTGATGAACCTGCTTCCGAGTCCAAACTACTGTGTTTATTACGGCTGCTGTGTTTTTAACATGTTTTGTATCTTGTTCTATTTAATCTGAACAAGCCCCTAAAAAACTCTCTCTGTTTTTACCACCACTGTTCATTTTAAAGCTCAGTGTTTAAACCCTTACGATGTAGCTACAGCCCATGCAGCAGTATATGAATGACTAACCTCGTATTGTGGATGGATTATCTCAGTTGTTCTCCTGACTGAAGTTTGGTCCGTTTACAGCATCCTGCCATGTGATTGTATTTGTCTCTAACCATCAGGAACCCTCACGTTAACTTTTATCGAGTGGAAAAAGTTAGCGTTCATCCTCCAGCTTCACTGTGTTTATGCTAGGCTAACATAGCTGTGTCGCTAGCGATCACGTAGCACATCATTATATAGCAGCTAGCCCAACTTCAGTAACCCTACAAACGTCACTGCTGTTTAGTTTTCTGTCTTCATTTATGTTGGAAGTGACAGCAGAGCTGTACGTTTGAATTTTTCAGAAATCTCTCAGTCAGAACATGCTATATCATGTTTAGGTGGAAGCTAGCGAGCGAACTTCCTGCTAACTTCTAACTCTGTTAAACGTAATAAATCCTGTTTTCATGGATGTTAAACTTAATTGTTACACCTGTTAAAGCAGCAACGCTGATCATTTTATTACAGGTGAAAGAATTTAGACAGTTTGTAACTCTCAGTGATGCTGCAGTGTTCGTTTGACTAATGACGTCAGACTTAAAGACCGGATTCGTGCAGTTTACCTCTGAGACTACAGCCTATGAAAAGCTGCTTTGTTACCAAAGATTAGAAAAGAAACATAATAATGATTTCTTTCTTTTTATTCTGATGTTCAGTGTAGTTTACTTTTGAAGCTCAGTAATTATTACACAGCTGTTCTTACCTTTCTTCACTCTTTCATTCTGCCCACAGTCTGCCCAGCTTAAGACCGCTCATGGATGTCAATTACCTGCCTCTGACAGACATGCGCATTGCAAGAACCTTTTACTTCACCAATGGGGGGCAGGCACTGTATCTCAGCTCCCCCACAGAGGTCCAGAGAATTACATACAGCCAGGAGATGTGCGATAACCTGCAGGTCAGCACTAGGGCTGGCAAAATTGGCCATTTGGCAATCATCCCCTCCGTCTGTTGCTGATGGCCAGTGAATTATCTGCCATCTTCTCTGATTACATCCTTCATGCAACTTCTAAAATTCTTTTTTTTTTTTTGCAGGAAATGCTGGGAGAGCTGTTTACACCAATAGAAACACCAGAAGCCCAGAACCGAGGATTTTTAAAAGGCTTCTTTGGAGGAAATGCCCACACCTTTGACAGAGAAGAGCTCTGTGCGTTGTCTGTCTACGTTATTTTCTTAATATAAAGCATTCAAGAATGCATGACACCATATTATACTGCTTATAATAAGACATGAATGTCTTTAGCCTGCACATGGCAGATTACATAAGATGTACTTGCTGATTTTGTGGCTTTGGTTGTGAGACTAGCACTCGCTCTAACCAATAAGAGGTCGTGCAGTGAGACGGGGCGATGTGAGAACACCTTAAAAGTTTTCTTAAGTTGAAAATACTCAGACTAGTTTAACTTGTATCAGACGAGGCAATCGCAGTCAGAGCGAGCACACAATGTTGGCAAACAATGACAAACAGTCAGTTGGCAAAATTAGGAGGCGTGTCTGAAGAACCCCAGGGTGCGTTTGATTTCCACACCCCTGTCACTCTGTCTCGTTCCAACAGTTGGCGAGGCTGCGGCTGGGAAGGCTTCTCGGAGTCTTGCGCAGCACATCCCTGGACAGGGAGGAGTGGAGGGCATGAAGGTCGCCGCTAGTGGAGTGGTGGGCGAGCTGGCGAGGGCGCGCATTGCTCTGGATGAGAGAGGCCAGAGGCTGGGGGAGCTGGAGGAGCGCACCGCCCTAATGATGACTAGTGCAGAATCCTTCTCCAAGCACGCTCATGAGGTGAAAATGAAACATAACATGATGTGAAAATATAAAGAGCATCTAAATGTACAACTTTGGATTTTGAGACATTAACAAAAACTGAACTGAAGCCAACAAAAGTGGTTATTAAATGATTCTCTTGTTGGCAAATCAATAATTTACTCCCCGATGCAATAAGAAGAAATGCTCTCAAGCTTTCAGTCCTTCTCATTAAGAAGATGTCCTTTTGTATCTTTTCCAGCTGATGCTGAAATGCAAGGACAAGAAGTGGTACCAGTTCTAATAGCAGGACGGGGGCCTCGGTCTGCCCTCATGCTGCTGGGAACGATATGCCGCGACGGGACTTTCACTTCAAAAATGAAAGCATTCAAAGAGAGGCACAGTGACTTTGTCTTTATGGCTTCTGGCTTGGCTTCATGCACACACTGTCACATCGCTGAGTGATGAGGACGGGCTAGTTCCCCGTCTAGACCTGCAGCGAGAAGGACGGTGAGGAGATGGCGGCACTTGAAGGTCTGAAGATGGAACTGGAAGTGTGTGTGTGTGTGTGTGTGTGTGTGTGTG